CCACCTGGTGGTTCACCGAGGTCCGGCAGCAGCATGATGTTCACAGTGGTACAACGACATGAGAAGGCGGCATGGGTGACGGATAGGGTTTGCAGCGAACGGCTGCAGCAACGACCGAAGATGGCCCCTTCTCAATCTTCGTTCACGACAACAACAGCAGCCAAGAGTCACGGGAATGGCGGCGCTTGACGGCGACGCTACGGCTCCACAGCGCTACAACGGCGGTCGTAGGCTGAGGTAGCCACCCAACCGCGAACCAGAAGAAGAAGAAGGAAGAGGAACGTCCGATAATATCAACATCACCGCCCTGAATCGTTTCCGGCAGCCTTGGCGATCCTCCGACGCACGCGACGACTCCGACAATGAAGCTGCTGTGGCGTTTTGACGGCGAAGGAATAGTGGCGACGGGCCCCTGAACGGTCGGAACAACGGACGATGGTGGCAGTCGAGCTACAGAGTGGATGCCGGTGGTCCCTGTCGTCGTCGTTGATCGTAAGTGGGATGGCGGCGGCTCCGGAGATAATGAAAGGGAAGGTGGCGATCGGCGCCTGAGGCAAGGAAGGGGGGAGGGTGACGGCTGCCTCTCTTATTAGGGTTAGGGTTTCACAAGGGTTTTATACCCGTCTACAACATAACTACTTTCCCATAATTACAGTTCTGGTCCCTCCCCTTGGGATCTTTTCAAATCTAACCCAAAATTTACAATTTAAACCCTGAATATTAGAATCCATTACAACTTAGGTACGGAAATTACCAAACATACCCTTGCCTCTAAAATTCTTCTCAAAACAACTCCATAACTTACTAAACAACCCCCAACTATCAAAATTGTTCACAAATTAGTCTGAGACTTACATTTATTAATTTATTTAAATAAAGAGGGCGTTACAACTTTCCCCCACTTAAATTAGATTTCGTCCTCGAAATCATTCCTTACCATTCCTTACACGCCCAACCATTCTAGTAACATGGTCACTATCCTGGACACACCCTAGCCTTCCCAGGGTGGCTGTGATCAATCTTCGCAAAGCCCTAAAATCTACAGGCGAACTAATTTCCCCACAACAAGATCACATCTACTCATCTGAATTCTGCTATCTCGAGATGGTCTGGATCCCTGACCGACCACTCTTACTGACTCATTATTGTTGAATCCAATCCACTTGTCTCTCAGCTGCCTACTCATCTTCTGATAATTTAGGGTTCCCACTAGAAAATAGAATCACATATTCACTTATCCCTGTGATTCACTTATACTTGGCCAAAACTCAGATAATCCCGCTGCAAGTGACTTGTCACTTCCCAGTCAACAAGCTATTCCGCTCGTATATATAACCTAAATCACAATTATTATTACTGCCCAAACGCTGAAACTTCCCGAATACTGAACTGCCTGAAGCAGTATACTGCCACAAGGCTGCTCTCCAAAATCTAACGAGACCTCCTGGGTCTCAATTCGCTCGCCAATCACCTGAAATACCGGGTTCCGGCCCGGCCGCGGAGCCAAAGGGCTCCCTACTTAGTCGACTCACACGACTTCTGAACGAAATCCTTCTCTGGAACTAGTCGCTACTAGTTTTCTTGTCACTGTGGCCCTAACGGTCTTCTGATCTAACTGATTGGTTCCATGCGTCGAATCCTGACGTCACCAAACCCAAGGCTAAAAGTGATTGCTACATGACCATTGGTAGCCTTATGCCATAAATGACCTTAAGCAGTCCACTGCTTCCTTGCTCTCATAGCTGTAGTGGCATTTCTACAGTCTTATCACTGCTTAACCATGTCTAATCCGTCAGGGTAATTTCGAAATCCAATCCGTGGATTTCCATATCCTCACTGCTACACCCGAACTGGTGGGTACTACTGTTCCTTCACGTCTTAACAACACACTCACGCTATCTACCAACCTAGTGAATGCTACGGCTACACCCGCAGACTTACGACACTCTAACACTATCTGGCTGCTAGTGAATGCTACGGCTACACCCGCAGACTTACGACACTCTATAACTATCTGGCTGCTAGTGAATGCTACGGCTACACCCGCAGACTTACAACACTCTAACACTATCCTCAAACCATACAGCCGCTTGGGCTGTGTCTCCTTCCTGACAAGGATGCGAAACTTATCCCAGTTTCAAAACTGCTCCTACTTCGAATCCTTGGATGATTCTCCTCCACTTTGATTCAACTAACGCCTTACGTCACACAATACTGGAAGGATTCTCAATCCTTCTTACCATTCTAAGCCCAATCTGCTGAAAACACGCTTACCATTGCTAGTGTTTCAATACCAGCCAGTCCAAAAGATCACACCACCTCCAAGGACCCGAATAAATCTCTGGTAATAACCCGCTAGACCCAGGGAGCTCTGAATCTCAATTGGAGACCTCGGAATCTCCCACTGCATCACGACCTCTATCTTGGCCGGATCGACTAGTACACCCTTCTGGTTGACAAGGTGCCCAACAAATTGCACCTCACACAACCAAAACTCACATTTGGAGTACCTTGCAAAAAAGTCTCCCTCCTCAAAGTTCTCAGCACCTCCCGCAGGTGCTTCTCGTGCTGCTCCTCAGTCTTGGAATAAACAAGATGACGCTGTTGTTTTTTGTACTCTCCCAATCCACAATTGCTGCCACTGATTCGGCCTACAGGCCTCTCAAGAGTTTTTATGAAAACTTGGGTCTCCTCCCGAGACCCTTTAATATAAACAACTGATCTGATTCCCCTTTCCCAATGTGCTCCAAGTCAATATCTCACTCTCGTGCTCTAGAAGTCATATCATTCAGGGTCTCGCACCCCTAGATACTCGCGATCTCCCTGCTATCATTCTACAGTATGTCCTGATACTTTATCTTCTTCAATTCCTCATCTGTTGCATACTGCGGTACCAACTAAACTCTCTCCCGAGACTTAGCAGTGATCTCTGCCACAGTCTCAGTCGCCTGGTGGAGATCTAACAACTCTTGCGCCAACTGCTGCGCCTCAATCGCATGGGCACACTCTGCCCAGAATCTGATCTAAAAGTCATCCCATGACATAGCATCAACCGCATCCTCACTCAACTCACTACCAACCTCTTCCTATCAATCTCGTGCTCTATCCCTCAGGAGACAGGAAGTAAGTCAGATCTTGTCTCCTTTCGAGACAACGTTTGGTACGAAAAGTGTTGGTGACCTCTGCCACCATCTGCTGCTAACATGGTGTCCCTAACCCCCATGACAATCTGAAGCCTCATAAACTCTGAATTCCCGAAACATTAACGTACGGGTCTCTATCATGACCGCTTTTTCAGTGCAGAATGCACTCGGCCTCTCATCACAAATCTCTATAATGCCCTCCTTTATCACACTGAGGATCACATGAGTCTGGTCAATGATACTGCGCGTAATTCTCAGATGGAATGAACTCCCTCATCTGATCATCAATCTACCCGGCTCCAGAGTCCGAGCCTGATCCCTCGTCGACACCAGAACTACCATCTGGTCTACCACGTAGCGTCACTATACTCGGCAACATACCATCACTAACACCACAATACTCATCCAAACTCGAGGGATCTCACACACTACAAGTTTCCTGGATTCATCTCAGCCTTCCTTAATTCGAGTACGGATCCTCTGCTTTCAGTAGTACGGGCCCATACTACCTTCCACATCTATCCGTACTTTCCTCAAGTACTGCCTCGAATCCACCAAGTCCCTTCTACTACTACTGCTGACTCGACACTCATGCTAATCTCATCCTAGGCTTGCCCTAGGGTCACCAACCCACTCTCCGCCATCAGCTGCATAAGAAGTCCCTGTTTCTTCCCCTAACTAGCTCGCGAATACTATTACATATTACTCAGACTAGATATTCTTCGAATGAGAGATCCTACCCTACAACGGTTGGACTCAAACAAGAGCTGCGAAATAGAGCTAGACCTAACCTTCTGAAATTATTTAGTCCTCGCAATATGTAACTTAACATATTCGTTTACTAGTTAGTGGAAGACAACTAGAACTCCTAAAAGCACAAAGCAAGCAACATTCGGTCATTGAGTACACATAATCAAGAATCCACGACTCTGGCTATCATACTGACTAATCTGTACTAGCATGCAGTTCTCATCAAGCTGAAACACATATAACAGGAACATAAGGCATCCTTCCTAGATCCTTAGCCCTAAACTAGCATGCAGTTCTCATAAAGCTGATACACATATCATAACATGAACTTGTATGGGTAATTTGGGAGTACTTACTTGAGCTCGGCTGATTGCATGCACCACATCCTTTTCTCTTTTTCAAAACTCTTTTCTCTTTTTAAGTTTCTTTTTCAAAAATTCTTTTCGAAAATGATTTTCTTTTGAAAACCTTATACCATTTCCTTAGTTTGAGTTCAGACACACCCGAAAGCGTGTCCGAATCCCTCAAACCAAGGCTCTGATACCAACTTGTAACATCCCAAAAATACAGTCTAGAAATTTCATTTTAAATCATTAATAAAACCATATCTATCATTCAACATATAGAAATCATGAATCGTGTATCCCAAGAATATCATATTGTCTGTCAAATATATATCAAAGTATAAACATCCCAGGCTGAATAAATGGTGTGTGCACTGCAATCATCCCGAGCTCCTCTTTTGAAAACCGAAGTACCTGAAACCAAAACTGAAAACCGTAAGCACGAAGCTTAGTGAGTCTCCCCAATCTACCACATACCATCTACACGTAGCATGCAACTAGGAGATACGGGCCTCGCCCACACTTATGGAGATATGGGCCTCGCCCACACTCTGCTAATTGGGAGATACGGGCCCCGCCCACACTCCGCTATCTAGGAGATACGGGCCTCGCCCACACTCCACTGTCTAGGAGATACGGGCCTCGCCCACAGTCCACTGTCTAGGAGATACAGGCCTCGCCCACAGTCCACTATTTCTGAGGTACGGGCCTCGCCCATGCTCAGCTACTTCGAGATACGGGCCTCGCCCACACTCGGCTATGATGAGCTACGGGCCTCGCCCACACTCAACTGCTAAACCCAACATACAAGTATCACACAGAAAACATGTAAAGCTAATCTACTGTTCATACATGATACGGGCCCCGCCCACACTCAGCTATTCATAAAGATACATACAAGTACTGTACAAACAACAAGTATCACTAAGCACATACATCTGTACAATATCAGTCATCTATGAGATACAGGCCCCGCCCACCCCCAGCTACTATGAGATACGGGCCCAGCCCTCACTCTATGAGATACGGGCCCCGCCCACACTCACATTCCTAACAACACATACATGTATCACATAGACAACAAGTATAGCAATCCAATAATCTGACTGTTATCTATACTTAGATAACAATGAGATACGGGCCCCGCCCACACTCAACTACAAACGTATCACATATATGGACCGGGCTTGGTGCCTTAGACCCGTTCCTACTGAAGGAGAACTCACCTCACACTGCTGAAGTCCCGCTGACAAAACCATAGCTGCTGGATGACAGATTCCCGATATGTCAATATCAAAAAATAACCCAATTAATAATTGGGTTCCATACATAACTATAAATACATACTTGGGTAATACTACATTACCCCTAGCTTGGCTTACCCAAGCCCAAGGTCCAATCCATAGGCCC